AATAAGTATTTCATGCGCACGTTAAACTTATTGCGTGGCCACGAAATAGTATTTCGTGCGCACGTTAAACTTATTGCGTGGCCACGAAATACTACTTCGTGGCCACAATTAAATTTTTTTTTTGACCATGTCATCAGAGGGGCTCCGTAGAAAATAGAGTCAAGACATTGTAAGGTTAGAAATAATGATTTGTATTTGAAATAAGATTTTTTTTTTACATCAAACTTTCCTTTCGTCAAAGAATCCTCCATTTGCAGCAATTACAGCATTCTAGCGGTTAATTTGTTGAGATAATCTGGAGAAATTGCACCCCACGCTTCCAGAAGCTCCCACAAGTTGGATTGGTTGGATGGGCACTTCTTGCGTACCATACAGTCAAGCTGCTCCCACAACAGCTCAAAGGGGTTCAGATCTGGGGACTGCGCTGGCCACTCCATTACCCATAGAATACCAGCTGCCTGCTTCTGCTCTAAATAGTTCTTGCACAATTTGGAGGTGTGTTTAGGGTCATTGTCCTGTTGTAGGATTAAATTGGCTCCAATCAAGCGCTGTCCACTGGGTATGGCATGGCATTGCAAAATGGAGTGATAGCCTTCCTTATTCAGAATCCTTTTACCCTGTACAAATCTCCCACCTTACCAGCACCAAAGCAACCCCAGACCATCACATTACCTCCACCATGCTTAACAGATGGCGTCAGGCATTCGTCCAGCATCTTTTCATTTGTTCTGCGTCTCACAAATGTTCTTCTTTGTGATCCTAAAACCTGAAACTTGGATTCATCCATCCACAACACTTTTTTTCCAGTCTTCCTCTGTCCAGTATCTGTGTTCTTTTGCCCATCTTAATCTTTTTCTTTTATTGGCCAGTCTCAGATATGGCTTTTTCTTTGCCACTCTGACCGGAAGCCCAGAATCCTGCAGCCGCCTCTTCACTGTAGATGTCGACACTGGTGTTTTGCGGGTACTATTTAATGAAGATGCCAGTTGGGGACCTGTGAGGCGTCTGTTTCTCAAACTAGACACTCTAATGTACTTCTTGCTCAGTTGTGCAACACGGCTCCCACTTCTTTTCCTACTCTGTTATTGAGAACAGATAGAAATTATTTCTAAGAGCATAAAAAAGATTAAATTAAAGATTACTCAGTCCTTTGAAAACCCTGTGTCCAAGTATCAATGTTTATTACTCAAGTAGAAGTATTACGACGGAGTATTAGGGTCAGTCTAGAGAGTTTTTTTCCTTCTATTTCCAGAATAAAGTCGTAACATTATGATAATAAAGTCATATAATTACGAGAATAAAGTTGTTATATTACGAGAATGAAGTCATAACATTACGCGAATAAAGTTGCAATATTACCAGAATAAAGTCGTAACATTATGAGAATAATGTCATCACATTGCGTGAATAAAGTTGTAATTTTACAAGAATGAAGTCATCATAAAACAACCCATTTCAGAAACAAAGCTTTGAGTTCCGACCAGCATATTATGGCCGACCAGCTCCACCATTCAGCAACCTGAGTCCACTTTGACATTCTGCCCAATTTGATCCTGGTGCTAATAGATTTCCTTATTTGTCAAACCAGAGCCAAAGTATAACTTCACATGATGCTTGACATTCCTCATTTTAGTGAAGAAAGTGCTTCTTGTAGGAGCTGTCATAAAATACAACTGGTTTTTTTTAAATAATTTTAGGACTTTATTCTTGTAATTTTTTGACTATTCTCATGACTTTTTTCTCATAATATTACGACTTTATTTGCGTTAAATTTACGACTTTATTTTCATAATTTTATGTCTTTATTCTCGTTATTTTACGACTTTATTGTCATAATTTTACAACTTTATTTTCATAATTTTATGACTTTATTCTTGTAATTTTGTGACTTTATTCTTGTAATTTTACTACTTTGTTCTCAAAATAGAAGAAAAAGAAGTCTCTAGCAAGGCCCTAATACTTACTGTGGTAAGCTATAAATCCTACTAGGGGTGTAAATCAGACCCATCATGGCGATTCGATTCAGAATCGATTTCTTGACCCAACATTATTTTCGATACTCAAGAATACACCACGATACGATACGATTCGATCAATTAATTGGTTCATTTTTTATTATTTTTTTTTACCTTACAGGCTAGACAATGTTTCAAATTTGAAATAAATCAATATAAGCTGTAATATCTTTAGGCATTTTATTTGGGAAAAAACAGCAAATAACAGAAGTAGAAAAGTTGTACTCCACCTAGGCCTATTAAAACCTCATTCACTGAAAAAATAATAACGCCCCCGCATTATAGATTCTGGAAGGCCTTGCATAAAAAAATACTGCACAAAGTCAGTGCAATGAGTGCAGTGCAATACCCCGGCTCCAGAGTGTCGACATCCCCGCCCCCTCCGCAGACACTCCGCTGCACCTCTCCTAAATTGTAGGTGACTGCAGACAGTGCCGCAGACAGGAGGCCGGCTTGTTTTGTTTTTATTACCGAAAGTGCAGAAAACAACTCAAGAAGTTTGAGTAGCTAGAAGAGCGAGGTGCGCAAGAACGCTGGGACCCTTTTTCCACATGGATCTCCACTCTTTTTTTCCAGGCTTATAGGAATAAAACGTACCCTCTCTGCATTCCGAGCCAAAACCGTGAGGGCTCCATGTAGAAGGACCAGGACACGATCAGAAGACAAGGCAGACATGAAAACCCTCTCAATCCGCTGGCCTCTAGCAACCAGGAGATTGAACATTGGAAATAAACTAAAACTAACTAAACAGACCACAAAACACGAAAATGATCTGGCCCCGACAAATTGGGCTGAACCGAATGTAAAGCAGAAACTCCGGTGGATAGGATGAGGAGTTATTACAGATTGGGCAGCGTTAGGCAGGTGAGTGAAATGAACAATTAAAGTGACAATGAGGGCAGATCATGAAAATAAATAAACTAATTCAAGTTCATTTTGGTAAATTAAGCCACAGCTCTCTGCAATAGAGCCTTGTATTTCACCCTTTAAATGTCAGATCATAATACATAGAAAGAAATTTAAAATAGTCAATGCAGTCAAGGCATACTGGATGTGCAGGGAACTCTTTATTTAGCAGAATAACACAGAACTTCAGGAACATTCACATTCCTCATTCATGTTTGATAGTTTCTGATGAGCACAGTCCACACAAAAACATTATTATTATTTTCCCTTTTTCCCTGTTTTTTTAAAACTCTGTCAAGCGATCTGCAGAACTGCTTCAGAAATACCACCAGATGAGTCAGCAGACTAGTACTAGCAGTAGACATCTTGGTCTGTCATGCTGTTTGCCGCAAGAAGTACCGTAAAACCTATATATATATATATATATATATATATATATGTTAGGTTAGTTCATATATATATTACAGCTGAAACAATTAATGAAATGAATAGTTATTTATTTCAATAATCATCTAGTTGTCATGATTTTATTCAAAGATCTGACCCACATACAGAAAACCAATCAGAGACCAGGGGAAGGTTTAACAGGTTTATTGAGAACAGATAGAGATTGGTCCAGTGCTGCTCTGAACGATGGCGAACCGGGACTGAAAAAGGAAGGGAAATAATGTTGGGGAATGTAAGGGATGCTCTTTAAGGATTACAGCCAAGCGCGGAAAGGAAATCGGTCTCTTTCCCTCAGTTTTGCCACCTGTGAGGAGAGGCACATGGAATGCTAAAGAAAGCTAGCTGGAAGTAGCTTTCGTTTTCCTGCGTCAAAAATTACGCATTGCAGTGACCCATCGTGCATAGATCCCGCTGAACTTTGTGAGACGGGGATCTCAGAAGCTAAATGCTGTGTAGATCCCCCCCCCTCCTTTGTGAGGACCTCGATACCAATCACGGTCTACCTGCAGTGGGACGCCCTTACTTTTGGGAGCCGACGGACCCACTCTGAGGTCGAAGCTCGCGACCACCTCCCCCCCCCACCCCACTTCCTTACCCAGACTGCAAGACGTCTCTAAGTAAAACCCATCCACTTTTCCATTTGATGCTTTAATGAGGTGCTGCGCTTGGGCAAGACAGGCAGATAAGAAGGAAATCTCAATCTAATGCTGATGTTTAATCTATGCTGGTTATAAGAACTCTGGTTTAAAGGTTGAAAGAAATTTGATGTGAATAGCTGCAAGTGAGGTTTCTTTCTTCTTTTCTTTCTATCCTACTTTCTGCTTTAAGGTTAGTTCATAGAGAATTTGCTCACATTTAACTGTCTGTGGCCACGTGGTTGACAACCATCTATTGTTACACGCTGCCTCCCATCATCCCTTTCATCGTATGAAAAGAGGGGTTACACACACACACACACACACACACACACACGCACACACACACACACACGCACACACACTCACTGCCCTGTTGCCCCTCCCGCTTACTGAATGAACTTCTGCTGCTGCTGTTTGAGGATGGTTGTAACATGCTGGTGTTTTTAATGCATTTTTAACCATTTATCATTTAAGCTGAATGTATTTACATTGTTTTAATTGCACTGTTGTTATTATCATATCTGTTGCTATTCCAAATGGACATCTTTGAATGTATTACCATCTGGCCTATCTTGGACAATCTCATTAGCCAGTAATATGGAGTCTTAGGGTTTTATTCTTTTTCTTTCAAAACTAGGCCCTTAATCTACCTTGTGTTTATTTTCTAATAGCGTGTAGTGTTTTGCATAGATGTTAGATTTCTGTAATCCTGAATTATTAGAGTAAAGACATCTTTGTTTAACTTGCAGTTGTTTGTGATTCACATACGAATGGTTTATCACTCAGGCCAGATCCACCCTCTTTTGGTAATAGTTTGAATAGACAGAGATAGTTCTTTGATTGATCATTTATAGCTCTGCTGTTAACCTAGCCTAGGTCACTAAATTGGTGGGGATACATTGAATAAGTTAAATAAGTTACTTCTAGTTCTAGTTAATAATTTATCCATTATCTGCAGGGCATCATTTTGCACAAAAGCTGCTTTTATTTAGCCCTTATAAGTATTATTTTATCATTTATCCTCTTCCTTCAGAGTTGACCTCTCCCCCGCTCTGCTGCACTCTGCCCTGGATCCAGTCTCCCTGGTTACCCTTCAGAGCTAAACGTAGCCACCCAACTCCTTGGCCCAGATCTGGTTCACATCTGCCAAGCATCTGGAACAGATCTACCGCTATCCCTTCCCACACACCTGGCAGAGACTGCACCAGAGTGGGGCAATGTTAGAGGACCATATCCTGCACTGGTGCACAATGCCTGGCTTCCCATCTCACAAATACACCTCAGAAGCTCAGTCAGAATCAGTGGGATCAGAGTTCCTTGCAATACCGGCTCTGGAGCAAAGACAGCAAACAGCGGAGATAGGGGGATGATTATGGTAGATCTGAGCCAGATGCCTGGCAGATGGGTGAGTGAGTGGGTTTAACTTTGGAGGCTAAACAGGGAGAATGTACGACAGGCAAAGTGCAGCAGAATGGAGTAGATTTAAACTGTGGAAGTTGTGTGAAGAGGACGAATGATAAATTGTTTAACAATCCTTATAAGGGCTTAATTAAAATATCTATTAAACAAGTCCCCCACAAAACTTTAAAGAGCGTTCCTTAGTTCATCCTTTTTCAACATTTTTTCATGTCTTTTGTCATTTATATTGAACAAAGGTTTGTTTTCACTGCACTTCTTTAAATTTGTTCATTAAGTGTTTTTTATTTGAACCTGTATTTGCTATGATCTAAAGATAAAAATATATTCTTCTTTTAAAAACAAGAAATAACCATCACAAATTGAGAAAAAAAAACACAACACAAAGCATGACAAACAGCAGCTGGTACAGAAAATTAATAAAATTGTTAAGTAATTTTTATAAATGCTTGGTAAAATTAAAAAACAGGCAGATGAAGCTTGACAACCAGCTTGTGCCAGTTTCTCATTTCATTGGTTTTGTTTATTCATAATTACACCCACCTTTACCTGATAATATTACATATTTAGAATATTGAGTAATAATGTGGTACTATAGAGCAAACAACAAATTTAAAGTGGACTGTTACAGCTTATATTGCCCTAATGAATGTGTTTCTGTAGCTGATGTGGCCAGATGTTTGAGTGGAGCTGTAGCTGTGGGCTGTGGATTCTTTTCATGCCTCGAAAACTCAACTTGTGACACTGATGGGATGCACGAGATATGTGAGCTGTTCTTTCATGCTGCTGCTACCTTTAATACAGAAGTGAGTAGACCCACCTGGCTAAAGTTTTTTTTTATCCAAACCTTTCTCAGTTTGACCTCAGTTTTTTTTCTTCAGGGTAAAACCTTTGTGAAGAAGAGCCTGCAATGCATTTCCCAGGGAATCTCTAACAAAGTGTTCCAGACCATTCGGCGCTGCAACATCTTCCAGAGGATGATAGCTGAGGTTTGCAGACACAGAAATGTTCACGATTAGTTTAGATGATCATCTGAAGCATAGCCTTGTTTGTTTTGTTGTTGTTTTTTTTGCGTTTTTTTTTTTGTACGCCAAAGACAAGCCACAGCTGGTTTTCCACAGTTTGCAAAATGTTGAAAACTCTCCAAAATATTGCAAACTATGATATGCGGTTGCAAATATTGTTATCATTTATTTATTAGCACTGCTAATAGGTGTTGTGTACACTTTCAATGGAAAAAAAGTGCAATTACTCTAGTTATGGTAAACAGCAGTTCTTTTCCATGTACTGTATAACTAGGATAATTTCAGTAGAATTATTTGTTCAAAAGATTTGTTCACCATATAAATCATTGTTTTGAGAATGTTCACAAGTAAATTACATATTATGCATGGCTTTAGTTACATTTACTGTCATTTATAAAGCTTTAACTGTATTTTATGTTCTTTAACATTTGAAATAGGGAATAAGCATGGCTTAAGTGACAATGATTGAGTCAATCATAGAAATTTTACCCTCGACACTTTACTGCTTTATCAGTAGTCGAGTTGTAAAAAAAGAAAGAAGTGGGATGGTGTATATATATATATATATATATATATATATATA